GATTCAAAAAGAACAAGATTGTAAGATTGGTGAAAAAGAAGTCTGGAGAAGAGGTATATGGATAGACTGCTTGAATGAGGACACACTATGAATATTTGTGTTTCACATGAATGCCCACCAAAAGCATCCATTGCAGAGGACACTTAATTATCAGGTATAGACAAATGGCATGCTCTGCAGATGTCAGTCAGCAGCCTTTCTCCAGTCACTCCCAGGGATATTCAACGGCTCATGAGCCATGTGGTGAGGTTGAAAGCTATGCATGCTTCACCAGTTGATTTTTCCCTCCCCTGGTTTGACAAGTACTCTGCTGAGTATCTAAGCTGCCAACTGCAAGGATTAACTATTGAGTCTTCAATGGCACCAGTCCCTGTGGGGATCAACCAGCCACCTGGTTACCAAGCTAATTACCATCTTCCATCATGGAGAAGGCAGAGATCCAAACTGGGAAGAACAGCTTATTCTGGATGTGGATTTTTCTCCCCTGTCCATGTTTCTGCCAGCACCACCATACATGGCCTCATAGAATGCCTTAGTGGCCATGACATTCCACACAGCTTATATCTGACCAACAAACTCCTCACAGCAAATAAGTATAGCTGTGGGCCCATGTCTATCGAATTAACTGGTTTTATCACACTTAACATCATCTGGAAGCAGCTAGCCTCACTGAAAGGTGGAGGGGCTTACTGAAGTCTCAGTTACAGTCATACCCGATGCTCTTATTTACAGCATGCAGCATATGCTTTGAATCAGAGATTACTTAAGGTTCTTTCCCCCATAACAAAATATACAGGTCTAGAAAATGAATGAGTGCTGAAGCAATTGAGAAATTACACTGAGCAACCTTCTTGAAGAATTTATTTCCTTCCCAGCAACTTTACCCTCTGCTAATTAGTTCCCAGGAGAGGAATGCTTCCATCAGAGGACACAAAATATGTTCCCTCAATTGGAGGTGAGACCATTACCTGGAAACTTTGGCTTCTTATGCTATTGAAAGGGAAGTATAATCCATTTGTCAGAGTGACTGATCCTGAAGAAGGGAAGATTGGGTTGCTACTAAATAATGGACGGCAAAATGAACTCTGTTAAGAAAAAGTTAATGGGGGCCTCCCCGGTGGCGCAGCGGTTGAGCACTGGGTTGCGAAGCTGCCCGCAGCCTCTGCAGCACCGGTTCGATCCCCGGCTGCCAGGCGAGGGTCCCACGTGGCGCGCAGACCTCTCCTGCCGCCCGCTGCTCCCCTCAGCAGTGTACTTTGGTCTTTCTGCCTGTTTTGCTCTCTGCTCTGGCTCTGGTGAATTCTCTCACCCTCCTGAGCTTCTGACTGTACCCAGTGCATGTATAAATAAATAAATCTTTAAAAAAAAAGAAAAAGTTAATGGAAAACTACAGTAACCAAAAGAGGGGGCGGTCAGCATTAGTCAGGCCCTTAAAAATTAAAGGTTTGAGTCACTCTACCAGTTAGCCGAAGAGCAGGCTAAAAGCAAAGTAAATAGGGAAGTGGCAGCGTTAAGAAGGAAGCAACTGGGCCTCTCTAGTGGCCTAGCGGTTAATTCTCAGAACTATCACAACAGCCCAGCCATTACCTGAGTTGGATCCTACGTATGGCACAGCTGATCTCTTCCTGTCTTGCTGGCTGCTGTCCTTAGCAGTGTATTTCACTGTTCTGTTCCCAACTCTGTCTCTGGTAAAACCTCCTACCCCCACCCCCACACCTCTGGCCTATATCCCAGTTCTTTTTTTTTTTTTTTTTTTAAACTTTTTTTTTTTTTTTTTTTAATAGAGGCATGCTTTATTTATTTGTTTGCTGGTTTGTTTGTTTTGTTTTGTTTATACATGCACTGGGTACAGTCCGAAGTGCGAGGGAGGGTGAGAGAATTCACCAGAGCCAGAGCGGGAGCAGAGCAGGCAGAAGGACCGAGGTACACTGCTGAGGGAGCAGCGGGCGGCAGGAATCTGCACGCCATGGGATCCTCCTCCGGCCGGGAGCAGCCGGGGATCGAACCGGCGCCGCAGAGGCCGCGCGCAGTTTCGCAACCCAGCGCTCAACCGCTGCCACCGGGAGGCCCTATCCCAGTTCTATGCAAAAATAAAATGAAGCAATTATAGCATTGTGACCAAACACGAGTGCTCTAAGTAGCTTTGCTTATTTCTTTCTTCCCATTTTTACCCTATATATAACTTGTTGGAAGCTAACTTACAACTTAAGTCTTTCGGTAACAGAATATTCAATGGGATTGTGACAGGAATGATCCCTGACATTCCATACTGTGCATCTCATTTGGGAAAGCATGAAAATCTGCTCACTTGTCGGAAGGGTAGCTGTTTATTGTTAGGCAAAAATACAGTTGTTCTCCTTGTTGTTGTATATATGTGTACAAGAAAACATATGAAAACTGAGTCATCAAAGGGTGGGTGGTGGCAGTCATTAATGTAGTGACGTCTCAGCTCCAAATTCACCTTCTTTGCCTTCTCTGTGAAAATGGATTTCGACACTTTAGATTTTTTCTTGACAGCTTTGTCAGAATATGTTGCTGGTGACACACTGCAGGAAGAGCTCTGCTTCCCAGTTCTGGTGTACCAATTTGAGAGACGCATCTGTGACTTTTTCTAGCGTCGAACTCCTTCAAGATTTCCAGATGCCTGGTTGTTAGCATACAGCAGCATCACCCCAAAGTTTCAGAAGGTACTACCTTTCTCCCCAGGCTGCTTGGTAGCTTAATAAGATGCCGCCCCAGGAAGAGTTTTCTCCAACATGCTAGAAAGCAGATTTCTGACAAGTTCTAGGGCAAGAATTTCAACAAGGTCTGGATCTCACTCTTGGACACTGTGTCAGCCCTAGGGGCAGCAGCTGATGTTTCTATCTGCTGGCAGTACATTCTTAGAGTTCATTACTAGTCATACCATGGTTATTAGAATCTGTTAATAATTCTTGAAATTAAACTTTCCCTGATCCCATTATTGCAGTTTCTCTCTCCTGATTAGACACAGACTAAGCTGCCACTAAGCTTAGACTAGACAGCAGCAGAAGGAAGATGAAAAGAAGTGGGAAGATTCAAGAGGCAAAGTGGTACTGACAGGACTTATAGATGAGGCCAGGCAGTGGGGGTAGGTGGAGAGAGGATAACTGCTGGATAAATTTCCAGTTTATGTAATTGGAAGGATAGTGGAACTTGTCACTTGTCACTTACATAGCAAACACTTGGCCCCATGTTGAAGAGGAAAACTCACGAGGTTTTTTTTTTTTTTTTTAAAGATATATTTATTTATTTATACAAGCACTGGGTACAGTCAGAAGCGCAGGAGGGTAAGAGAATTCACCAGAGCCAGAGGGAGAGCAGAGCAGGCAGAAGGACTGAAGTACACTGCTGAGGGGAGCAGCGGGCGGCAGGAGAGGTGCGCGCCATGTGGGACCCTCACCTGGCGGCCGGGAATCGAACCAGCGCTGCAGAGGCTGCGGGCAGCTTCGCAACCCAGCGCTCAACTGCTGCGCCACCGGAGAGGCCCCACAAGTTGAGTTTCAAAGAAAGGCGTTTGGATTGACTTTAAGACACCCAAAATATATCAAGTAGTATGCACTAAAGTTCAAGAATTCAGAGAAATCTGGGATTAGACGTGAGTCATCCCTGTAGAGGTGGTACATGAAACCATAGACATAGTTGAAATGGCCTAACAGAAAAGCAAACTGGAAGAACAGAGGATCGAGACTGAGTCCTGAGGAAATGCAACTTTCAATAGCTGGATAGAGAAGATGAGCCTATAAAGGAATTTTTTTAAAGCTACAAGCAAAAAAGAATTATCTTTAGAAAAAGTTCTTTTTTTGTTTTTGTCAGGGTGGGATTTTGCTTTATTTTAGACTGAAATTTGTTTCATTGCATGATCTTTTCACAAATTGGTTAAGAATTATTTTAAGTCAATCACAGGCATTTCTTTTTTAACTCCACCACCTCCCCCCTCCCCTTATACCCCATCCTCTACCCCACCCCTCCCTCTTAGGCTCAGAATCCTGAGGATGTTTACATGATATCCACTGGTTTTTAAAGTGCTTACATTATAGAAATTTCAGGAGTGGAAATGTCCAGTATTTGTTTTTATCATTCTGACATGCTTTACTCAAGGAAAGGGTGAAGTTGCCAGAGAGCAGAGGAGAATAGGACAGCCTTCTGACTCTCAGAAGTACAGCGTGCAGAGCTGCACGGCTCCTGCACCGTAGGAGAGCCTGCTATGGCTGACGGGCTGCTGCCGGCAGCTGAGGCTTCAGATCTGCCACTGTGTCAGGCCCAGGCTCCCTTCCTCTGGGTTGTTTCTAACCCATGACTGGTCCTGGGAAAGCCATTTCTACTTGATTCTTCTCACAAGCGATCTTTGCTCGGGGCCCATGCTGGCCTGGCACAGGCAGATACTCCTATCTTCCTTCTCCCTCACACAGCCCTGCCCTGCAGACTGAAATCGCCCACCTCCAGACTTCTAGTTAAGCACAAAATAATTTATCACTTTTAATCAGATTATTTTGTTACTGAAGAGACATATGCATCCTAACTGACACACCACTCACAAGCTGACAGTTAGCAACAAGATTGTATGACAGTCTGTAAGTTGACAGTTTGTCAGATTTATAAAAAATCTTCCCTGTCTCATGGAAAGATATAAAACAAGAGGCTGGTTTAAAAACAGGAAAAAATTTAATCCATTCCAAAAAACACACAGGGAAATGAGGAGACTGCAGGAATTATCTGTGATGGAAGGAGGACATTACTGGCTTCATGCTCTTATTCCTAGAATCCTGAGACTTTGATGCTTAAAAAGAAATTATCTTGTCTTTTAGGTACACCCAGCTACTCAGAAATAAATTACATACCTCTGTAAAAGAGTTCTGGTCTGCTAAAGCTGGAAGGGAGCTAGCAGGGCGCTAGACAGGATGGGAAAGGAGGGTCAGTCTACAGTAAACTGGTAGAGAATGGCTGGGTGACAGTGCAGAACCCTCCAGGGTGGCCCCCTCTGCTGCTCTGTTGTGTACCAGGATTCATAAAAAGTGGGTTGCCCAATGAATGTTCAGTTACAGCTTCAGTTATTATTTATCATCTATGGTCAAAAGCCCTAGAGCAAAGTCCTAGACACTCCTCAAGCTCCTTGCTGGTTAGTTTCATCATTATCTCGCCTCTTCCAAATCTGTAAGAAATGAATATAACAGATATTTAGGAGCTGGTATTTATTAAATACCTCTCTGCACTCAGCAGTGGATAGCCCGCCACCCCACTTAAATATCCACCCCTTAAATATCTGCTAGCCCCCTCATGAAACTTATCTATAATCTTTCAAAAATTTCCCTTTCATCTGATTTTCATTTTCCCACCCTTCCTCTTCCTCTCCTACCTCCCATTCCAAACTTCCTTTCTGAAAAAGAACTCATAGTCAAGTCAACAACCTCAGACAAAGTGGCTGAGGAAAGTTATCTCTTGACGCAGTGAGGTTACTCATCCTTCTTACAAAGGCTAGGGCTTTTTCTTAGTTTCAGTCTTCCTTTTTGCCACGTCCTAGGGCAGTTAGCAAGAGACGGGAGAGATAATCTGCTCCACAATCTCTCAATCCACTGGAGAAGACAGTTAAAACAATATGCTCGGTGTACCAACAGACATGCAGGAAGTGCTGTGAGTCACCAAAAGTGCTGACTGTGCCTAGGAACTGGGGAGCGTTTGCCCACCCCTCTCTGAAAGTCCCACCTCACTCCTCAATGCATTTTCAGATCTACCACAGGTACCTAAACGTGACTCTAAGTTAACCCCACTTCCTGCCATCACTCACAATATCCCTCACACCCCAACTACTCAGCACTCACTAAGTCTGTGGCCAACCCACCTGAATGTAAGCCTCTGATAGCGTGATCATCTGGGGAAGGATGTCAGTCACCTGGAGGTCCTGTAATTCATACCATTTGCCTGTCCCCTGCAAAAGTATGAAGAGTACAGAAGCAAGGGATGCAGTCAACAAGTCAGAGAAACAACCACCAGACCATCATCAAACAAAAGTCATGAATAAAGAGGGCATGACCTTTGCTGGGCATCATTCAACTTAAAGAACAGTTGGGTATTGATCATGGCAGACTCAATGCCTGGCAAGAGTTACCTGAAGCACGACGGACTCTCAAACACTCGGTACACCTTTTTAGAACTTGGGTGGACAATAAAAAGAAAAAAACACTGATACTCTTAGTCCTCACCTAAGAGGTCGCCTTACTGCTCAGAACGGACAGGCTAGGTGCGTGTAACCCATCAGAGGAATTAAAAGCAGACATTCCCACGCCCTACCCCAGAGAACAAAGCAACTGAAAGACACTGTCTACCATACTAATCCAATTCCTCTCACCTGTGAAACTAATGTGGCAAATACAACCAAAATCTACCTCACTTCCTGCTTCCATAGAGGAAAAAGAGGTTTCTGGATATGGCAGTCACTTTGGGATGCTCAACTGCCTCATCCACCCATTCTAAGAAATGCCAAAGACAAGATACTAGAGAGTACATATTCTAGTATTCTGGGTGTTCCACCAGTGCAAACTGTAGGAAACATAAAGAAAGCTCAAGATCGTAATCAAGTCCCTGTTCCAGTTCAAGGACCGGTTAACGGCACAGTGAAACCAAGTTTCTAGGTTCAAACCCCAATTCTACTGCTGCAAATAAATTATTCCAACTCTAGGCCTAGGCTCCCTCATCCATAAAAGATGGCATTGACCCCTGTCTTGGAAGTCTGTGTGAAGCATGTGAGATGCTATATACAGTAAGCACTTGGCATCCTTTCCAGACACAATAAAATGTCTGATAAACAGAAGCTAGTTATTATTATCCCACAATCCTAGAAGAGACTGGGACTCACAAATTAGAACAATCTGTGCTGATATTCCCTGCAATATCAATTATATCTCATGTACATGTTTTATCCATTTTCAGTTTGAAATAAATTCACAGTATTTTTGAGCTGAAAGGAATCTTTTACACCAGTGCTTCACAAATTTCAAATAAATCAGGTCTTACTAAAATGCAGATTCTGGTTCAGTTTTGGGTAGGGTCTGAGATTCTGCATTCCTTTTTTTTTTTTTTTTAGTATTATTTACATATATATATTACATCAAGATTCTGCATTTCTTTTTCTTTTTTAAAAAGATTTATTTATTTATTTATTTATACAAGCACTGGGTACGGTCAGAAGTGCGGGAGGGTGAGAGAATGCACCAGAGCCAGAGCGGGGAACAGAACAGGTAGACTGATGAAGTACACTCTGAGGGGAGCAGCAGGCGCGGCAGGAGAGGTCTGCACACCATGTGGGACCCTTGCCGGTGGCGGGGATCGAACCAGCGCTGCAGAGGCTGCTGGCAGCTTAGCAGCCCAGCACTCAACCCGCTGCACCACCAGGGGAGGCCCAAGATTCTGCATTTCTAACAAGTCTGGGATTCCATAACTGCAAACCTCCAACAATGTCAACACTGCTGAACTGAGGAGCCCATATTAGGTGCCAAGTTCTAAGGTATGACAGTGGTTCTCAACCTTAGTTGCACACTAGTCACCTTTGCAGCATCACACTGCCTGGGTGCCACCTCCAGGTAATCTAATGCAGAGTCTTTACCTTGATGGACATTTTGGGCCCATATGCTGGAGGGCTGCCATGGACACTGTTAGGAGCTTCTGCAGCGTCCCTGGTCTCTATCCTGGTTGAAAACCACAGGCATCAGGATTTTTTAAATCTCTACAGATGAGTCCAATGTGGAGCCAAAATGAGAATCACTGCCTTAAACTAAACACTGACAGCTCTATTAGATGCAGAATCCCAAAGTCAAGCCAAGAAAGCACAAACAGAAAGCAGCTGCCCTCTAAAATACCAACAGTACAGCTGTTTTTGCCACTCACATGATGAAGTACATGGATCCGGTAGGAGCCCTCCGAGGGCTTGCCATCGTGAAACAATGTTGGCAATGAGGTCATAAGTGGTATTCTTGTGTACTGCCTGTACTTCTTCAGACAAGTATTCTCTCAGATCCACATTTCTGTAAAAAAAAATGAGGCCAAAAGATCAGACAACAATGTTAAAGAAACTACCCTACACAAATGGACCACAAGGCTGTTAAATGCTATTTAGGATGCTGGATCCAGTGAGGTTTTCAGTCATGGAACCCCAGACTTGTGAAAATTCACATAATTGGCCATAAAATAAGAATTTCCAGTCAAAATAGAAAGCCAGGATCTTTGGGAAGAGCATTTTTTGAAACACATGTCTAGATGTCAAACATGCAGGCCTAGAATCTGCAGGCTTGAAACCGGAATCTGGGTTTGGCCATTTCAGAGCTGAGTCTGAGTTTAAACAAGCTATACACCTCAAGGTTCTCCTTGTTAGAATGGCAGTGATGGTCTCCCCTGAGATGGCCAGGATAAAGTGAGACAACTAGTATGACTGTCTCACCCTCCACCCTAGCTCAGAATAACAGTATACAGGCTGCACCAAGTTTCTGGCCTAAGGCCCTGCAAGTATGATCACATGATTATGTGGTACCATGAGACTAATCACTGTAACAATCTCAATGACAAACCAAAAAGATCTGATTGATTTTTTTCTTCTGTTTTCTGGGACCTCACTTCTGTATTTAATTGCTTCCCACTTTATCCTGTTCTGATTAATTAACAGATTAAGTAACAGAATAGTTACAAGGAACAGAAACCCACCCAAGGTAGCTTAAGCACAAAGGGAGAATGTTGGATCCAGGTGCCAGAGAAGCAGCAGGATCCAAAGAGGACCCTCTTTCCCACTTGCCTTTGACATCAACTTTATTATTCTCATTTCTTTATAGTGTGGCTCTCTCTTCTTTATGTGACCCATTTGAACATACCAGTTCCCAAATTTCTCAGTCCTGGTTGTCAAAAGAAACTATTTACTGAGTTCCTTCAATTGGAACTTAAACATATCAGATTTGTTTTTAATATCTGAATATTCACTTTCAGATATAGAAAAGCATTCTTGACATACCTCGAATTAAATCTCTCACTACATTTTAGAAGTTGGATTCTGTCAAAGTTATAAACGTATACCACGTAATACACTGCAAATACACCATGTAATATGCTGCAAAAAAACATTCTATAATAAATGCTTACTGTGAAGACTCTACAAAGACAACTATTAAGAACTTTCAAATAATTAAACAGGGAAACAGACTGTAACATAAGAGAATATGTTGGCTACATAGTTTAAGGAAAATAAATCCTGCCACAGCCTACAAATATTCATGAAAATTTAAATAAGACAAGGTAGAATAAAAGAGATTCTATCACATTTCTAATCTCTGAAATTGTCCGATGTGCTACCATTCATAACCTGTGACACAATACATGAAAACATGAAATGCTAACTGGTTATTTCCAGTGGTCACTTTATTTATTTATTTTTAAAGATTTATTTATTTATGCATACAAGAACTGGGGTACAAGCCAGAGGTGGGGGTAAGAGGATTCACCAGAGACAGACTGGGAACAGAACAGGCAGGCTGACTGAAATACACTGCTGAGGGGGAGCAACAGGTGAGCCAGGAAAGGTCAGGTGCGCCATGGGTAGCTCCCTGACCAGCCGGGGATCAAACGTGTGCTGCAGAGGCTGCAGATAGCTTCACAGATTGCGTCTTAACCCACTGTACCACCAGGGAGGCCCTAGTGGTCACTTTTAGATATACAGCTTTGAATTTAGACTCTGTATATATTACCTGTAAAAATACAGAAAGTTTCCCGTGCAAGCCAAGTAAAAAAAAAAAAAAAAATGTAACTTCTCTTTAATTATATATGTAACTTTCTATTGTTAGTGATAGCTACTTATTTTCTACAGACTATATAGAATAAAATAAATAGTTAAAGGCAATTTCAATGAGTCTTAAGAAATCCATGTGAGGCCCAGAAAGAAAACTTTCTGCTAGCTGCTAAAAGCAGACCACTGTTACTTCCTCCCAGTTTTAACAACAGTTGTCTGAACTAACCTGAAGAGTCCTAGGGAAATGTTCAGGAGTGTTTATACTCAAGTTCTCATGACTAAACCAAAACTGTGTAGTGGCAAATGGGAATGAACACACGTTGAAACATTTTGTCTAGGAAAAAAGGCAAAGGAGCAAACCATACTCATCTCCCAACCAAAATAGTCCAACTCAGAGAAGACCTACTTAGCTGAAAGTGACACCTTTTTTTTTTTTTTTAAGATTTATTTATTTATTTATACAAGCACTGGTACAGTCAGAAGTGCAGGAGGATGACAGAATTCACCAGAGCCAGAGGGAGAGCTGAGCAGGCAGACTGATGAAGTACACTGCTGAGGGAGCAGTGGTGGCAAGAGAGGTCTGCGCACCATGTGGGACCCTCACCCAGCGGCCAGGGATCGAACCGGCACTGCAGAGGCGCCAGCATCGCAACCCAGTGCTCAACCACTGTGCCACCAGGGAGGCCCTGAAAGTGACACTTTAAATCTGGGCTCCAAAAGCCCTGTCTCCAAATGAGCAGAGGACACCTAATTGCAGCAAATCTGATAAATCGCTGTTAAAAATTGTGAATAAAACAGAATCAGTAACTGGGGACTTGGATTATCTAGAACCCTATCTCCTTGAAAGAAATTATAGAAACTATACAATTACATTATCGTACAGGTTTCCAAAATTAGCCACACAATATGATATTCCCTAAAAGGCTGGCTAGTTAAGAGGTAATCTTTTCTTAACTTCCCCAAAGTAAGTTTTCTGAAAGACAAACTGCTGAAGTCACAGTTACCAAAAACCTAAAATGCAACTGGTGGCAAAATAACATGCTCCAGGCACAATATAAAAGAACTAAGGAAATACCTGTGGTGACTGATCAGGAACTATCAACAACATAGTCCTTCTTCCTCAGCAACTGCCCTAGAGTCAAGAGACAGTTCTTCCTGCCAGGAAGACTGGTGACTGGCAATTCACAGGAGTCAAATTCTTAAGTAAAACCCTAAGCCTTGGACTTTCAGAGAAAGCTCCTCTATGGGAGCAAGAACAGGTGTCGATATCCTCCAATTTCATTCTATTTGTCACACAAAAAATATACTAAAGAAAAACAGGAAGACAAGTATGAGAAAATAAAAAATAAATTTTCCTATAATCCTAATTACAGAGGGTTTCTCTCCTTAGCCCCCACCATTCTCAGATGCTTGGTGATTATAGAAGAAGAATAAAATATTATACCTTGAAGAATCCCAGGGTTCATAAGTCCAAGTCTCATTTTATCCATAAGCAAATATATACAGACCTAAGTTCTCTTTAATTTTTGCTACTACCCTCTCACACATTACACGAATGAAAAACTAACTGTTTACAAAGGAGAAAATGGCAGTCCTGCATAGGCTGGGGAATTGGATAATGGAGGTGGACAGAGAAGAAAGAAAAGAAGAGATGAGCATTTTACCTGTTAAGGGCCCAAACAATTTTATGCAGGTTTAAAAAAATAAATACGGGCAAACATGTTAATCCTATTTTTTTTTTTTAAGATTTGTTTATTTATGCAACAAGAACTGGGGTATACGTCAGAGATGCAGGGGGTGAGAGGATTCACAGAGACAGAGTGGGGAGAACAGGTAGACGACTGAAATGCACTGCTGAGGGGAGTGGCAGGTGAGACAGGAGAGGTCTGTTGTGCCATGTGGGTAGCTCCCCAGCCGCTAGGGATCAAACTCTGCACAATGGCTGCAGACAGCCTCATAGTGCTGTGCTTAACCCCTTGCGCCACCAGGAGGGGCGCATATTTTTTTCCAATCCTTTTCAGTAAAAACGTCTCAGGGCCTCCCGGTGGTGCAGCGTTGAGCCTGGGTTGTGAAGCTGCCCCAGCCTCTGCAGCGCCGGTTCGATCCGCCGCTGCTCCCTCACTGGAGGAGGGTCCCAATGGCGCGCAGACCTCTCCTGCCACCTGCGCTCCCTCAGCACTTCTCCGGTCCTTCTGCCTGCTCCTCCCCGCTCTGGCTCTGGGAATTCTCTCACCTCCCGTCTTCTGACTCTACCCGTGCTTGTATAAATAAATAAATCTTAAAAAAAAAAAAAGAAACTGTCTCAGGGCTCTACTCTCTTACCTAATGCCAGCACAGAGTTACACTTCTTCTTACCAGTCCTGTCATCAGTTTTCTCCCATGTTCTCAGAATACATTCTTCAGAGTTTGAAAAACCATGTCTCTGAGAACTGAAAACCAACTGTCTTACCCCCAAATGGGTTTTGGCAGGAGCCTTCTGCATTAGAAGGAAGCAAAGTAAAACACCTGGTACTATTAAAACAAGTAATAGGGATGGAATGCACAGCAGTAACTATAGTCAGTAACAAATTTGAAACTTATGGGCCTCCCTGATGGCGCAAGGTTAAGTCTCAGCACTATGAAGCTATCGGCAGCCACTGCAGCATGAGTTCAAATGCCCAGGCCAAGAAGGTAACCCACATGGCGCAGCAGACCTCTCCTGTCTCACCTGCTGCTCCCCTCAGCAGAGTATTTCAGTTGATCCACCTGTTTCTGCTCCCCACTCTGTCTCTGGTGAATCCTCTCATCTACCCTCCACCCCCCATCCCTCACACCTCTAGCCTACACTGTATGCATAATAAATCAATCTTATAAAAAATTGAAGCTTGCAATATATGGTGACAGATGGTAAACCAGTTATTGTTATCATTATTTGATCTATACAAATGTCAAATTATTATGTTGTACACCTGAAACTAATACAGTTTTACGTGTCAATTATACTCAATGAAAGTAATAATAATAATAACATCTGGTCCAACTTACACCAATTTTGCTTGAAAACCTCATATTGTTCAGAAACTGCATGATAAATTAAAATAAGATCATACATCAAAATCTACAACTTCCTGGGGCCTCCCTGGTGGTGCAGGGGGTTGAGCACTGCACTATGAAGCAGCCCACAGCCTCTGCAGCACAAATTCGACCCCCAGCCGGCCAGGAGAAACCCACATGGAGAGGTGGGCCTTCTCCTGTCTCGCCTGCTGCTTC